ACACATTAGGAGAAGCCAAGTAGGCCAAAATCTCAAAATTGAAGTGTGCATGAAATTTTTTGCTTGTAGTGTCTTCCCTTTAAACAAATATTGCAGGTGCGGTGCAGCTACAGTTCCTCTTTCAATGGCACTTTTAAGAATACATCTTTTGTTTCTGCAAGACAAACATCTCTGCGACTCAAAACCAGTTTGTGTTTTCTCTTCAGAATGAATACTTTCACCCAGAGGCATCTTCCACCCTCTTTTCTCTAGAATTACATATCTCTAAAGCAACATTCCTTTGGCAATTGTTTATGTTTGATTTTGCTAAAGTGGAATGCTGGCACATGAAAATCTGCAGCTGTTCTTTGCCGCTCATCCGTTCTGTCGGCCTTTGCGGCAGGTCATCGCTTTTCAGAAGCGTCACCTCTGCCTTTTGTGGCGGTGCCGGCAACAACAAAGGGCTCTTTTACAGCAGTGTCTGCGCAGACTATCTGCCCTGTCATCTGTGTTCTGACAGAAGTCACTATGGGCGGCCCTCACTCCCATGAGAAGATCCATTCAGGCCCCAACAATGAAGGCTTCTGCTGTCCGATTCATACAGAACCGCAGAAGAGAGAGCTACAAGACCTCTCTTTGTGCCTTCTTCCGCATTGTTCTGGGAAGGTCAGTCTTCTGAGGTATCATTATCCGCATGGAGAGTAGTGTTTCCATAACACAGCATGTTTGGGCAATGGGGAGTCCCCCATTAGCTGTTGGGTTCATACCTTTGATGATAACCAGTTTAGTGCAGAATTTGGTGCATTGATCTTATAGGATTGTGTTATTTTGAGTGACTTTTTAGTATTATAATGTTGTATTATGGTCCTGATATGACCTTTGATTTAGAGAACCAAAACTGAAATGTTTTTTTTTTTCTGTGTTCTGTGAAATTGCACCTTAAAAAAACCCACTGGCAGGCAACTGTGGTTGGCAGAAATTCACTGTAAAAATTGATGACAACGTTACAGGTATTACGTGATGGCTTATTTTTCAACTTATTACAGTATGTTTCATTAAATGATATTATGTTAATATACCATTATATAATCTACTTAAACTTCCCAAATCTTCATTGTACCTTAGAATACTAATAACCACCTTAATAATAGAGGTGGTAAAACCGAAAGCCACATGATGATTAATCCCAAATTCATCCTAAGTGGCCTGTCCATGAAACATGATCAATACTCGTGTATAGACGGTTCACAGGGTCATACTCACAAAGACAAAATACCATCAGGGTAACGCATGACATCGAAATTATGTAAGAAAACGTTACTAATTCGTAGTAAGATAAAACAAAACAATTTATTTGAAAATATGTGATGTTTCAACCGGGGCCTTTTGGGAATGCAACTTTATTTTTCTCTCTATAAGTTATATATTAATTTTTATTTGCAAAAAACATCAATTTGATAGTATTTTACAGTAAATGAATGTGATGTTAAACCATTTGTCGCCATATATTGTATGTTACAGTAACTTACAGTTAACCAAATAACAGATTTTTACCCTAGCATTTTTTACAGAATTTTTCTGTAAAAATTACCAACATTTTGTAGAGTCTGGCTGTCTTTGACAGATTCATCAAAGAAATCAGCATTTAAATGGTGCTATTTCAGAGCTTAGTGGAGATGTCCAAAAGTGAGCAAGACACACACATACATATAGCAAACAGGGCATTCATGTAGTCAAAAGATTGATTGTTTCGCACTCAGCTCAGCAGAGCTGTGTAGGAGGCAAGCGCCACTGAGTTGGGATCATTTCTGTTCCTGCACACACTTAACGGCTAGTTTCAGCTTCCCAAACACGGATGTAGTAGTAAATGCAAAATTACTACACCGAACAGGGAACAGGATTCCCCCTTTAGTTTTTCAGCTTGTGCTCCTGTGCTCTTTTTAGGTATACCTGCCCCACCCAAAATGAGATAAATCCGTAAATAAACCACTGGAATACATTTTGAATCTTCTTCAGTACAGCCGGCTCTGAACAGTGAGCTCATTCAATGAAGGATGTGTCAGACTGATTCAAACCAGTAACTTCTAAGTGTGTGAGTCTTTTTGAATAATTTATTAAAAGAACCGAGTCATTTGCTTGGGAATCAGACTGCACAGGCCACACTTCTTGTGTTTTTGAATGCAGACTTATGAAAACGTGTTTCCTTGCCATAACTTTGCAGTACACATTCAGTTCGGACTGAAAGCTCACAACTCGAATAAAACATAAACACTAATGTTCAAAAGTTTGGGGTCACTTTTTGGGGGAAAGAAATAAGCAAGCAATGATGCAAAAATTGCACCAAATCAATATGTATTAGAATTTCTGATGGACCATGTGACCCTGAAGACTAGATTGACGCTGAAAATTCAGCTTTGACATAACAAAAAATATATATATATTTTAAAATTTTAAATAGTAATGAATCATTTAAAAAAAAAAATAGTAGTAATGTTTCGCAATGTTACTGTATTTTTTATCTAATAAATACAGCCTTGGTGATCCCTAAGACACTTCTTTCACCCCAAACTTTTCAATAGTATTGTATATATATATTCCATTCTAAGTGTAATACTTTAAAAATTACATTTGTCGGTGCAAACTTAGGGTTAAGTGATGAGTGGTACATTTGATAGAAAAAAAAAATTGCATTTAACCCAGAATAATCATGTTTCTGTACATGCATTCTGGGTGTTCTGATGGTGGTGTCATTCCTTGGTAATGGATGAAAAAATATATATATTTAAGGGGAGCCAAACAAGTCATCAGTGTGTTGTACCACTCGCAGTCCAACTCTATCCGATCGATGGAGGGGGTAATGCAATATTCTGCACACCCCTGTTGGCCATTGTTTTCCCTCCTGTGTCATTTTCTGCCCTCTTAAATATTTTCATGACCTTTCTTCTGCCTTTCCTAGCACTGCAACCTATAAATAAGTGGCTTTTCTGTAGATGTGCATAATGGGGAGGTATGGGTGAGCTGATATCAATTGTTGTCATACCTCTTATCATGCTTGCTCAGGGAATATTTTCCTCACTATGGCATGCAGACTTATCACAAAACAGATGCCATGGTGTGAACACCCCATTATCAAACCTCACTCTCTCATGAAAAACAAGCAAGCATTTTGGTTACCTGTATCATCGGTATCTACATAGGCACATACAAAAATACGCAAGCAGCTTTGTACGCAAACAAGCCGGATTATATTCCAAAAATAAATATTCCACCACTTCAATGACCAATTGACTCATGCATTTATAGGACAGAGTTTGGATATTTGTCTCATTCCGCATTCTTTGTTTTTGCATATTTGTGACACATTTGGCGTAGTTTGAATGGAAAGTCTGTTTGCGGGAATAAAACCGTAACCGAATACCTCTGTTTTAATGCAATAGTCAACACATGAGCCCGTTACTAGGAAAACAAGACAATGCATTCAAAACTCAGTGAACAACACGTTATTTAAAAGCAGAAATAGGTAGTTTGCTCTTTTTTTGTGCTAAGCCACCAAAAGTTTAATGGGATAGTTCACCCAAAAATGAAAAATTATCAGACTCACCTTCATGTTGTTCCAAACCTATAAGATTTTTGTTAATCTTTGAAACACAATTGAAGGTATTTTTAATGAAACTTGGGAGATGTCTGTCCATCCATTGAAAGACCATTCCACACCAAAACCGCTTCAAAAAGTTGATAAAGTTGTCCATATGATATGCAGATTTTGGATTGGCTTCAGTTGGTCATGCAGATTTACTGTGTTAACCAAAAGACTTTCAAAGCAAGCAGCTTTGTGTTGGTTAACTTTGCAAATCCACTTAAACAACTTGAACCAGTTGCGAAATCTGCTTGGGGAAATATTTCGCCCTCACACAGAATTCCAGTTTGCGTGAATTCCTATTGAAATGACTGGATTTTGTCATCTAAAATTTGCTGAACAGTAAGTCTGACCGCACCTTAAAGCCTACTTTTACAGTCTTTATGAACGTTTTTGAAGCATTTTGGTGGAAAAGACTTTCAATGGAAGGACAGAAATCCCTAATGTTGCATTAAAAATGTCATAATTTATGTTTCGATGAACGCACGTCATACAGGTTGAGTAAATGATGACAGAATGGACATTTTTGAGTGAACTATCCCTTTAAAGTTATTGACATCTCATTCGGTTTTTGAGGATGTAGCTGCATTAGGCTATTCATACGTCACTGAGGGGGGGATGGAGGAAGGGTGGGATTCCCAGACAGTAGTGAGCTAATGTGCAGTAATGCTTGGTTACAGATGTAAACATGTAAAGATGTCAGCCCACAAGCCTCGTTTCGACCTACAACCACATACAATTAAAATACAGCACACTTTCGGTTCTTTTTTAACCACTCGCAGACCGTGAAATCGGGATATAAGGTAAAAACATGGATTGTTAATGTTATATGTGTCGCACAACATTGTGTTAGGTCTCATTTATTGTGTTTATGAGATTGTGCCACATCGCCTTGGGCAAAGGTTTTCTGTGTGTGTGTGTGCGCCTTCAGTCTATGGTGTGCGCATTTGACTCACTTATTTTGCAACACATTCCCGGAAGACTTCAGGTAGAGGCCTGTTACTCTACAGTATCTCGGCCACTAACCAGGTGTTGGCCTGTGATGACACATCCTGGCACACATTGCGTAATACATTCACACTTTCTCTAGCATGCAACACCTTTAACAGAATCTCACTAGTCTATTCTGATTTTTGTATTTAGAGACAGTGAGAAACCTTTAACCTTATTTATTCTGAGCAATCAAAGTTAAAGTCGGGTTACAACGCCTTTGAACGTGATCCAAAAAACGATCATCTTATCTTATCTTAAAGAATTTAACAGCTCTGTCATGCAGTTTGGGGAGTAAATGGGTGTGTTCAGAAAAGGAAAAACCTTCTGATGTTTCCGAATATAAAGTTACAGCGAGCTTAATTTAGTCTTCTCTTCTCTGTTTTCTCCACAGCAAAAGAAGACATACCTGGAGCGCAGCGTTAAAGACGCGGAGGACAACATCAGAGAGATGCTGATGTCCAGAAGGGCCCAGTAAAACACGCTCACACTCACTCACGCATCACCTTTGTACACCGTGCCCTTAGTTTGAACATGCTTGTGCATGTATTGGAGAATACTCGTGACAGTCATTTGTTAGCTGAACACAGGAAGTTTATTTAGGTTAATAGTTAAAAATGAATGTACTGTTGACTGTCTGTCTAAAACTGACTCGTGTGACTTCTGACACCTGAGTATTTAAGTTATTGATTGTTTTCTTTGACAGTTGTTAATGGGGTTTTTTCTATGGTTTTGTAATAATGCAAAACATTTTTTTTTTATGTAAGCAGGTGTTAACGTGGTAATAAAGGTGTTTAAAGACAGCGAATTCTGTGTGTGTGTCATAGAGGGCGCAGACAGTCATTTAGATATGATCTGAATGATGATGTGGTACTTTGATTGCTGTGTGTTTTTTGGGATTGCCTCTACATCACTGGTTTCCTGTCAGTCCCCTCTGGACATCCTCTTTCCCCCCTGTCTCATCCATGTCTCTTTTCTTCTGATCTTAGACAATTGTTGCATAAGCCTATGAAAACTTGTCTTTCAGGCTACAACCTTAAAGCTGGAAAAGAGAAATAGCCCTGACTTCTGTTTTAGTCTTCTCCAGACAGCGCTTCCTGTGTCTTTCCTGTGTGCCTGTCTCAGTCCTGCGTGATCCAGTTGTGCGTCTGCTTGATATCCTCCTTCCTCAGTATAGGGAGCTGAATTGCATAAAGCAATGGAGGATTTTTCTATATGTAAAGCTTTGAAATTGATGTGGTCATTGTTATGAAAGCCAGTGAGTTTCTGGTTTTGCCTAAAATGTATACATGGCGCTCTTGAATATTTCTACTGTCAAATATATACATTCATTTAAGTGTGTTTACGTCCACTTTAAGTAAATTTTTAGTTGGAGCAAAGCAACAATTTGTCATTTTGAGTGTCATTGTAGTATTATGTATATGCTATTAAAACAAATATTTGGAATTAGCTTTTTATATTTTCATTTTAGTCATTTTTCTTTTCTTTTTTTTATTTCTATATAGCTTTAACATTTTTTTTAGTTTGTTTCCTACACAAGTTGTGCTAATGTCCCATCTCTCAAATTACCCCATGATGTCTTTTCATATAATGATATGCTATATTATCTCAAAACAATATTTCATGGGTTCATTTGGAAAAAATATTCTTGAGACAGAGAAACGAAATCTGATCCTCAGGACGGTTCACTCAGTTGATCTGTTGCGCCCTCTACTGGCCGCAGAAGTGAATATCGCAGCTCCACATATGTCACGGCTAGGTGTGAAGTCACATGTCCATTACTGCAATACAGGGGGGTCCAAGAGTACAGTGGAAGATTTACACCTAAGGTTTGTACTGCTTTATCTACTGAGGTCCATCTACCAGACACACGTGGGACTGCAGTAGGGTTTGTGTGTGTGTGTGTGCATATTTTGTGTTTTCTTTAACAGCTCTAATATTGAAATTTACACTTGCCAGTATAGACCACATTTCTTTCGAAGAAAATGAAGACCTTGTTGCATTTAGATAACTGTTCAAAAGTCTTTGCCCTGAAGAATACCTCACATGTTGTGTTTTTGAGGGGCCCTGTGGTTCACATCCAAAGGAGACTTCCCATTGATCCATGAACACAGCTCCTGTTGTGTTCACACTGTCGGCCTTTTGATGAGCACAGGCAGGGGAGTAAAGTCCAGGACCAAGGGCAGATTATTAACCTGTGTAATCTGGTCCCCTTCTGTCTCTCGCACTCCCATAAAACCAGCGCTCTGCGGCCAGCCAGCTCTCAGGTCTCACGTGGCCTCTGGGAGACAGCAGCACAGAGCCCCGCACATCCTCCAAGGGCCAATGAATCAGTCAGAACCTGCAGAGGAGTTTAAGGTAAAATATCCTTCAAGTATGGTGCCATTGTTGGGGATTAAAACACTGATTTGGGTCACACTGCAGATGTTTATGTCAAGGAATGTAAGAACAGGAAGGATTGTTTTGGTTGAATGTCACATTGGAATGCTAAAGATTTGTGAAGACATCACAGTAGAATTTAGTAATAAAGAAAACGGCTGAGAATTGTCTATTTTATATTGAGGATTTTTTAAATTATTATTATTATTATTATTATTATTGAGTGCTAACAAATTCAAATCTGAATCCTGGTCATGCAAATCAAGTACATTTAAAAGAAGGCCTTGCTTATATGGATGCGCACAAATGTTCAGATATGAGATGCAAAGAATTGTGCCAGATTATTATTTAAAAAATTATTGACTCTAATGCAAGATACTCTAAAAAAAAAAAAAAAAAAAAAAATGTTTTCTCAGGATATGAAGAGTAGGTAATATTTTCCTTTATGGTGAAAGTTTTTTGCTTTTTGCCAATTTGAGTCAGTGAATGAGTAAAGAGCTCTTTTTTTATTATAAGTCTGAATAAATAGTACTTTTATGTAGTAGTTTTATGCTTGTGTTAGTTAAATGCGTGATGGAACATGTTACACTGAGAGGTGTAAATGTAGGCGATAGATTGAACAGTCCGTTCTGGTCCACTGATTTGATTGGATAAGTCACATTCTTAGAGATATTATGTTTCTTTGCACTGTTTCCATCACTTTTGTAATTATTTTCTCAAACCAACTTTTAAGCTAACTATAAAACAGTTTTGCAAAAAATATTAGAGGTATTCTATAATCTATATGAAGATGATGCAAAAGCCTCTAAGAGCCACCTCTGTCAAAAATGAGATAATAATATTGAGTGAATGCTCTCCGCACATAGTATACGCTCATCAAATACTTTCACTTCAAACTCACTAAAAAACATTTTTATCAGGCTCCTATGTATAGGTTTCTACCTAAGTACCGACATTTCTGAATGGGTACAATGTGTGCAATATTAGTTTGGAATAGCACCTGCATTGTTGTTCATAGTGACATAGCCTTATATGGTCTGGTTGCTTAATGATGAGTCGTGATTTTTTGTTCTTTTTCACCATGTTGTCTCTGGTTTAACACTTAATTGAGCACTTAACTTGTCATGCGTATCAATGAAATGTCTACCCTGCAAAAAACTGGGATGTGCCAAACTAGAACATGCCACGTGTTACAGTCTAACTTATCAGTTTGAAAGCAGAAATAAAAATGGAATTATATTTGAAATATTGAAGTTTGTTTTAATTGTGGTGAATTCTATTAATTATTTGGTTAATGGAGGCCGCTCATATTCAATATCATAGACTTTACTGGGGTCTGTTTGCTGTGTTTTGCAGTTAGATACATTATCTGTAGTTAAATATTAAATATTAAGTGATTTATGAATGTTAAATGAGAGAATAACTTGCCAACTTTTGAACTTGGCTTCTTTGAAAATGCTAACAATGTCACTTTTTCTTTATTATGTCATTTAAAATTGTTTAAATTCACTATTATTTTACTAACTATTATTTTTAGATATAGATATATACACACTGTATATCTGATACCAATATGCCAATGTGTTACTTATATACCACTTATTCGTATTTTGAGTTAGCTTTTATTTGTATATTATCAGTTATCATCACTGTCTGTAAAAACATAAACATAAATAACATAAACACAATGAGCAATATATTTTTTACAGCATTTATTACCCTCTGTTAATGTTAGTTAATAAAAATGTTCATGTTAATTCACAGTGCAATAACTAATGTTAACAGATACAGCCTTTGATCTTACAAATGTATTAACAGATATTCAATCAACATCAACAAAATGTATAAATATTGTTCACTGTCAGTTCATGTTAACTAATGTAGTTATTCTAATGCTAACAAACAAAACCTTGTTGTAAAGTGTGACCTTTATTCTCGTTTAAGGAAACTATTTTTAATAATTTTAGTTTTAGTTAACAATAACAGCACTGATACCAATACATATTTTATCAAGTTTTGGCTTTAATTGTCTTACAAATATAATTAAAATTGCTGTATACAGGCATGTGAAAATGGCTTTTATTAAAGTAAATTGATTTTAATATATATATATATTTATATTAAAGCTTGCAAAACATGTATTAACAGATTGTTAAATGCACTTCATCAAAAGAAAAGCTTTGCACACAAATAGTACTATTGTCATGCATGAATCATATGTTTGTTCTCCATCAGCTCCCACCTTCAGATGGAGTTGTTCCAGCAGAGGGTACAGAGCTACAGGAGATGCCTGCTGACCTGGCCAAGGCGTCTGATGGGAGTCCGAATCAGGCGGCAGGATTTGATATGATCTACAGAATCGAGGACGTCCCGCCTTGGTATCTGTGCATACTGCTGGGACTGCAGGTACACTTTTAACATTCTCATACTCTCTTCAAATCTTCCAATAATCCCATCTAAACCCTCCTGCATCATTATACGTCCTGCCTCTGGATCTCCAGCACTACCTGACATGCTTCAGTGGAACTATTGCTGTACCATTCTTACTGGCTGAAGCCATGTGTGTGGGGAAGGACCAGTACACTGTCAGCCAGTTAGTGGGCACCATCTTCACCTGTGTGGGGATCACTACGCTCATACAAACTACATTTGGTGTCAGGTGAGTTATTTAACGTGTGCTTCAGTACAGAAATATGTGATTAGTTGTCACTGTATTCATGTTTTTCTGTGCCATGATCAGGTTGCCTTTGTTCCAGGCGAGTGCTTTTGCCTTTCTCATCCCTGCCCAGGCAATTCTGAGGCTGGATAGATGGAAATGTCCTCCTGAAGGTACAGTGTTACACACTGTGTGCATTTTTACAGTCACTATCAGTGGGGGAAGCTTTCAGGCATATTACATTTTGCACAAACCAAATATTAAAGGGATAGTAAAAATTCTGTCATCATTTACTCACCCTCATGTTGTTATAAGCCTGAATGAGTTTCTTTTTTTCTGTTGAACACAAAAGAAGATATTTTGAAGAATGTTGGTAATCAAACAGTTGACGGGAGAATATGGAAAAATACTATGGAAGTAGATGGCTCCCGTCAACTGTCTGGATACCAACATTCTTCAAA